AAATATTGCACAAAAAATATTTTTTAATACTTCCTAGACTACAGATAAAATGTTTTGGTGAGGTAATAATGTAAAATTTATTTCACATAGACTGTCAAGGATTATTTAATTCTTCTGCAGAACATCTGTACTTGCCACCTGCTTGGCCAGAGTGGGAGGGACACTTGTAAACAAATTGTTCAATAAAGAGGTTTTAGGTTGTGGGGGTTTTTTTGCTTGTTTTGGATTGTTTTGGTTTTTTTTTTTAATTTAGCAGGATCTCTGTGAAATGCCTATTTAAGATATTTAAGTTATTCAGCAAAGTAAAGCTGTGTTATCATAGAAGGCTAAGCCCATGTGTATTTCTTAAACTTCTATCTGCTGAAGCTATCAATAATATTTCCACTTGATTAGCAAAACCATGTAGAATTTAAAGTACAATAAAACCACTTTTCATATACTTGCGGTTTGCTAACTAATTGGGTTTCACCTTTTACTCATTTCATAGTTGTCATTCAGTTTTGGTGGTCTTCCACATCCACCTGAGTGTGCACAGGAATACCTTGGTTTTACTCTGAAGCAGACCCAAACGACATAGAAATACGTGCTGAATAGTTTATTAACACTTTTTTTGGCCAGTAAGGAAGAGTAATTTATTTTCTAACAAGTACTTGATTTCTAGATGGTGTAAGTTGGAGCCCTAACTCTTTGTCTTAGCTATTCTGAAAAGCTGTACCTCTGCAGAACTCACCAGGTGTCACTGGGTATTACATAGCCCAGCTCTTCAGCTCAACAGTGAGATCAAAATATTCACAGCTGTACTGGCTTTTTTTGAGGGACAAAAGCTGTACTGATTCATGCTGTCTTGCATTGTGCTGCAGATAGAAGCACAGAGAGTCAGCTTGAAAAACTTTCTTACTCTTATTCATGACCTCCTTCATTTTTATTTTTTTTTCTGTTCCACTGTGGTATTCCTGGTAAGTTTTGGTGTTTTCCAGAAGTTTGGGGAATCAGTGATGAGAGGGATTATTTCTGGCCTTATTGTGTTTAATTTTTTATATGTTAGCAGTAATTTGGCCAAGGGACATAAGGAAGAAAAAAGCAATAATGAATGTATTGCATGTGAAGAAATGATGACGATAGATAAAGAAAGTCACTTAAGAAATTGACACGGAGTTGATCTTCAAAGTTGACTAATGTAGCCCAAGTGCTTTGTTTGAACGTATTTCTGGTGCAGAGGTCACTGCCTCACCTTCAAATCTGAAGGTGATGAAGAGGACACAGAGTTGTTTCTGCAATTTAGAAAGACAAGAATGTCTTTCAGTAACATCCTCATACTTAGATCTCATAAATTTTGTTAATGCAAATAGGCCATTTATAAATTTTGGGCTAATATTTATAAACCATAGTGAATGAGCAGGGGCAGTGGTAGTTTGGAAGATGCTGAAACAATTGGAAGGATTCTATGCACATACTTCATACAAACATGCTGTATTTTTCAACTACATTCAGTCTGCTATGATTATCATTAAAGTCCAAGTTAACTGACATTAGTGTTTCTTCTCTGCCGTTCCTGGCCAGCAGACAAAGGATAAGTTTTGGTGAAGTGCAGCAAGAATGTTTAAATAGGTGGTTTGCAAGCCTGAATCTCTTTCTTAAGTGACATATTTGAACTGCTGCTATGTATCCACTGGAGAGAAGGCACATCAGGGAATTCTGCTAGAGCTGTACAAATTCATTTATTCTTGCATTTGACTTGACCTACTTCTAAAGCCTTCTTGATAACATCCCCTGCTTTCAGCTTCTGTTTATCTTCTAGGAATAAGACTGTTGCATACATTGTTTGCTGAAGACACTGAGGACCTCTGTCTGTGTTTATGTGTTATGCACCTAGATGAACTCATAGTCTCAAAATGCTAATAATACTTTTTAATGCTAAGTGTTATTTAGAAATATATTAAAAAATTACCTGGGCCTGCCTCCAAAAATGTTGTTGATTATAGCCATGAATATTTAGCTTCAGAGAAAGAACAAAAATGGTTACAGTACAGTTTTAATGAATTCGTATACCCTTTTTATTCCCAGATCATTTTGATTCTCTATTAAGTAAGCACTTAATTGAGAGTTACTGTTATTATAAGCACATAATTTGTTATGAAATGAAATTGCTAATAATAAATATCTCATCTTCCATAGAAACTATAGCAATACTGTTCTGATCTTTTGTGAAGCTGTTGCCTGAAAAAATGTCAAAAGCTTATGATATTACATAAAATAGAAAATGTACAGGAAGAGTTACAAAATTTGGGGGGAAATTCATCCAAAGTTGTCCCGGTTTCACAGGGTGTTGGAACAGTGTGTCTGAAAAGGAGTTTGAATATGTAACAGTAGAGAGCGTCCTGTACTAAGTCACCTGGTTTTGTATGAGTCCTACATGACTGCTGTGTATAAAGAGAAGAAGTACAGTAAAGGCAAAATGTACCAAAAACCAGCAGAGGTTTGTAGAAGAGAAAGATAACTCCATTTCCAGAAGCATTTCCAGGACATGGAAAGTGAAATCTCATCAGGCTAACCTTTGGAAATATGTTTTAAGGAGGTCAAGGAGTTACTGAAAGCTGATAATAATTTGCTATAGTAAGCTTGAATAGTCCAGTATAAGAATATTAGAAGAGCAGTTTGGTTGTCAAGTATTGCCACAGACCACTGACTGTTTTTTTATTCTATATTTCATCAAAGTTGTATTTATGAATGAAATTGTATATTCAAAAAAGGATTAATCCTTATAACCCTGGGGTTTTTTTCCTTATGCTTTTTCCCAGATATGAAAATATACTCTATAAAATGCAAATAAAAATGTCCTTTTTCCACCATGAAATCTGGTGACAGAGAATATCTAAAAACAGGTTGAAAAAAATGAATTAAACCCTGCGGTTTTTTTCCTTATGCTTTTCCCCAGATATGAAAATATACCCTATAAAATGCAAATAAAATAAAAATGTCCTTTTTCCACCATAAAATCTGGTGACAGAGAATATCTAAAAATAGGTTGAATAAAATGAAAAATTGGAGCTCTCTTGCATACCTTTTCCCCCTTCCCATCTCTTATTTAATTTCATTTATTTCAGAGGAACTGATCACAGTATAATATTCTTCCATTTAGAGATAACTATTGGATAATTAATATCCATTTGAAATAAGTATTTAATAACGTAATTTAATAGAGATTAATATTCTGTAGTGAGCTCAACAATCCCAGTTGCTATTTGGATGGAGAATTCACAGTGAGGACCCAAGTCAAAAATGCTCAAAACCTCTTAGGAGAACAAGCAAATCAGGTCTAGTGATATGTCTGAAATAAAAATGTTTGAAGGTGCCTTCACTTCTGAGTAATTTACTGTTTTATTCAGCTAGTCCTCTGTATTTGCATGGGATTAAATACAGGTAACTTTAACCAGGGAGGAATTAGCATTAAAAAAGTATTTTGCAAATTCAAAAAATGTTGTTACTGTTCTGAAAATTTAATGAATTAATAAGAACAGAGTTATCTGCATCTTCAAACTATTTTGTATGCTGGTAAATGTGACTGGACTTTTTTACATGTGCACAAACAGCATTACAGTATAGCTGTTGCTTAAAAAATATAAATCTGTGTTATTTTAAAGATGCATAGTTCACAATGATCACTTGCACTCAAAGCAGTGTTTATTTGGAATGGATTAAGTATGATGTAAAATATATCCCATATTAACATTTTACTTCTGTAGGATTATGGCTACTTTTCTAAAAGGGAAGGCAGCTACACTTTTTTTTTTTTTTGTTTTTTTTTTTTTTCCTAGAGATGATATCAAACCTTTATTTTCATGTTCATGCTTTGAACTGTGCTGCACCTTTCCCCGTGGATAAGAGTCTGGCCAGGGAAGTGCCATCACTCAGGGCAGTGATCCGCAGCAGCCCCGTGTCAGCTGTGATGCAGCTCCAGCCTGGTGGACTGTGCAGTCCCGTGTGCCCTCTGTGAATGGGGCCACCAGTTTGGGTCTCCCTCCTCTGATCAATCATTCTCCCTGAAATTACTTCAGCTTAATGTCTTAGAAATAGTGGCCTCTCTAAATTTGCTTGGAATTTAATGAAAGATTTAAAAATTAGTAAGAGGTGAATGACAATGTGACCATTGCGTAAGCTTTGTTTCTTTAGGAAACCAACAAAACTTTCTAGACTGCAGATGAAATGTTTTTGTGAGGTTAGAATGTAAAATTTATTTCAGATAGACTGTCAAGAATTATTTAATTGATGTTTTTGTTTGTTGTTTTTATTCAGGTTTTTTTCATGAGCAAGTCTTGCACAATTGATCATGTGTTTTACTGTGCATTTCACATACACATCTATCAAGTTTACCTCATAATATGTTTTACAAGAATTTCCTAAAACTATATTTAGTGGATTCCATGAAAAGCAAATAATTTTGAACATCACAATGTTCAATAAAGAAGAGACTGGGGCAATAGTCTGTTTGCAGACAACCTTTTCAAACTGCTATGGTGATTGGTGATTCAAGCCCTGATTTAGCTGCCATTTCTGAAAGGAATACTTCTTGCAGTGATAAAACAGTACTGGAAATTTTGATTAGGAAATTCTATGATATTCCCAGAAGTGCAGCTTTGCAGAGATGCTGAGCCAAATGTTATGGTAATTTAAAAAAAGTGCAACCCTTACTAAATAATTGGAACTGCAGAGAATGTAAACCATTGAGGAATTTTTCCTGTTATGATGTCTCAGCATAGAGCAAGAGCTTATGTGGAGGTGTATAACAGTTATTTTAGAACTGCTTCTTTTAACTAATTCCTACTATTTATTTTATGTATGCTAAGAAATGATATTTTGTAGTATTTTGCATAGAATTTTATATATTCTACATAATAAGCACCAGATTCTTGATCATAAATGGGGACACCACTCTTTTTATTGTTTCATATATAAATATAAACTGGATTAAAAGCACTCAATTTTCTTTTTATCTGTGTAAGTCTCAGACAGTTTGGACCTTGGATGCCATGACTGTTAGACCTGGAGGTTCCCCAAGACAGAAACTCCTAAAGGACTCCTTAGCAGCAAAAGAACTTCAGACCATGGAAAAACACCTAGCTGGTATGTATGGGATCAAGGAACCATAAAATGCCTAGAAGTACTCACCCAGCTTGCTCTGCCAATTATTTCAGATGAGGGAAAAAATTACCTAACTCACATGCTGATGAAAACAGATGAAAATGTTATTTTTTTTATTGAAGAAAACATAATTAGTGTTCTATTTATAGATGTAATGAACTTCATTGTAATCACAGTAAATCCACTACTTCAACAGTAATTAAACCATGATAAATATACTGTGGTCTGAAGGCATAATAATGCACCTTTTTTTTGTTTTCATGGTTCACCCAGAGTTATGCAATAAGGAGGTACTGATATTTTACTCACTGTTAAATAGTCTTTAAAAGCAGGCTGCAGTGGATCTTTAACTGGAGAACAGAATGCTTTGCAGGAAAGACTTGCCTTGTTCATGAGAATTCTGGCTGAGTGAAATCTGTTAATTTGTGTGTCTTTGAACATCTGCAATATCTTTGATGGGGTGACCATTTCTGAAAAGTCAAAAAAAAAAAAAAAAAGCATGAGGTTTTTAAAGGTAAAGAGATGGTAAAGAGATGTTTCGGAGCTTTATAAAAATTAATGAGGAATATTCTAAAATTTACCTTGCAATTTCTTCTTTGTAACCAATGTTTTCTATCTTCAGCTTTCATTAAAAGCTATGACATAGACCTATATTGTGGTAGGCCTATGTTATGCATGCCATTTGTCATTGCTGAAAGCTTCGTAGACTGATTCTATGAAAAGTAATGCTTCACTGGAATGTAAAGACTGTATATGTAAAACGAAGGTAGAAACGAAATTTATCTGATCATTCTTCTAAGTTATTTAGAGAGTGAGGCAGATAACACTTTTGGTGTGATATTTTGAAATACTTTGGATATTTATCTTGCCAATAACAATGGTGAGAAAGCTGTATCCTCTTCAGAAAGGGGGTGTTGCAGCTGAGGTCCAGGCAGATGACAAAGCTGTAAGCACAATGGGGGAAGCTTTTTAGGAATAGGTTTTGGTCATAATGGAGCAAGAACTAAAAGTTATGATAGATTCAAATGAAGCCTTTTTACGTGGGTTTTGTGTCAGACAGTAGAGGTGCTGTAATTCCATTTTTTATAGGTTCATAAAGCTTGCAGGTGTTAGAGCTGCAGCCACTGCCAAACTAGATTGAAAAATCCATGAGCCCTCTCTCTAAACTGAAACACCCAGGAACATCTAGTGGGAATCAGGAGAGCACCAAACCAATATGTGGTTTCTGTAGCACAGCAGGGACCTGTGTACCCCAAGGACCACTGAGCTACCACTTGTTTTCCCTTATATTGTTACTCTGGAGGAGTCTGGTGAAGATCTCCCTACTTTGATTTATGTCCTAGCTTGTCTCACTTCCGTGGTCATACAAGCTGTTCTTGCATGTATTATGCTGTGAAAAATGCAGTCCCTTGGCAAAACTGACAGTAATAACTACAATATTCAATAGAATATGGAATTTTAAATACTTAGTCGACTGTAAAGTAACTAGGTACCTTCGCTTAATCTCTGAGATTCCTTCTGCAGCTGTGTGACCCACAAGATTTTCTCTCTCACATCAGCGCTGTTCCTGTCATTTGACTTTGGGCCTGAAATTTCAATAAAGCTGTTGTGACATGAGGTTCAGCCATTCTACTATACAGTAATTTTTGTCTGACTGAGAACTTCACATGAAAACAGCCCAATTATTAGACATTAGAGTATTGTATTCTTAATAATTCATGCCCTATTATAACACCAGTGGTGCTTGAGACAATTACTCCTCTCAAAGAAAAGAACAACGTAATTTCCGTGAATAATCAGTTCAGAGTACCTCAGATAATAATGCTGTGGTTTTGCTTAGCCTCATTTATCTTATACATTTGCAGAAGTTCAAGTGTCTGTGATATCAGCAAGTCTCTTGTTTCAGTTCTCTTAGCAAGCGCAATGGAACCTATTAATTCCACAAAAATCTGCCATTCTAGGCAGTAATTCAGATGCCTGAGCTATGACTTGGATTACCCGTGTAGTGATGAAATATGGCCCCCTGTCTCACATGCACCTTCTAAAGGGGCCTGGCTTTCCCTTATGGACTATGCGCTGGATAAAAATCACTCCTAACATAAGGCGTAATTTGGTGCTGGTGCCTAAATTAGGAGCTAGCACCAATTGCCAGCAACTGCCTCAGTACTTGATATTTGAAAGCAGCAGTTTTACAAAATCAGATACTGGAGCAGTTTTCTGTCTCTACATATGGCTTATATATTTTTTTTGTCTAAAATCCAGGCTCTTATGTTATTATGGCTGCTTTATATCACAAGCAAATGGAGATTGTTTTTTTCTTGGTAGTTTATTCCAGTATCTTGCCAATTTGGTGTGTAGCACTGATTTTGTGGTCTTCGTATACTTCTGGAAAATATTTTATCACAAGAAGAACTGTTAAAAAAAATAAACAGTTTATAAGTGCATATGAATCATATCCTTATTCTGGATTTTTTTTTTTGAAAGCAAAATGCCTTTGTGTTGCTCTGTTGCATTTTTTTTTCCTTTAAATGACAACAACAAGGATTTTTAAAAATCCTAAGTCATAATTCAATTGTATTATTTAACATGTATCAGGTAATACTGCAAAGCTGGGAATGTGTGACTTCTTTTTCTTTCTGGCTGAAAAGCTTACATTAAAGCAAAATCAAACTGAATAATTGTGCTGTGGAAACATGTTAATTATGTGTAGAGAAATTATTATAATTGGTTTATCTGTAGGCTTGATTGCTGTATGAAATTAAGGAAACATGAGCCAGCATATAATATTTATTTAACTCTATTAGATCATTCAGTATTCATGCTATTTCTTAGCATAGTGAATTCACTACAGTCAGGTTGGACATCTGTAATTTTGCAAAGAAATAGACTAAGCTGGTTCTTTAAAAGACCATATTCTTCATTTGGTTTAAATCAGTAGCCCATAGTATCATTTATTGGCCCCTGATTTTTTGCCAGGCATTTTACACAATCTACACCAAAAGAGGAGCAGGGAGCAGGTTAAGGGAATTGCTTCTTCCCCCTCTAAGATCAGCTCAGCTGGTCAAAGCCTGGTGTTAATAATGCCAGGGTCATGGGTTTGATCCTCATATGGGCCAAACTGAAGAGTTTGACTTAATGATCCTTGTAGTTCCCTTCCAATTCAGAAGATTCTGTGACTGACTACTCCACACTCATGAGACCCCACCCAAGTGCTGCATTCAGCTCTGGGGCCCCCAAGGCAAAAAGGATGTGGACCTGTTTGAGCAGGTCCAGAGGAGGCCACCAAGATGCTCAGAGGGCTGGAGCATCTCTCACAGCCTGAGAGACTTGGGGTTGGCCTGGAATAGTGAAGGCTCCAGGGAGAGGTAATTGTGACCTTCCACTACCTAAAGGGACCTGCAAGAGAGCTGGAGAGGCACTTTTTATGCAACAAGGAATAAAGGCTTTAAACTAAAAAAGGAGAGATTTAGATTAGATGTTGAGAAGGAATTCTTGACTGTGTGGATGGTGAGCCACAGGAACAGGTTGCCCAGAGAAGCTGTGGATGTCTTGTTCCTAACAGTGCTCAAGGCCAGGTCGCTTGGAGCTCTAAGCAATATGATTTAGTGGAAGGCAATTCCTTCCCATAACCAGGGGGTTGGGAACCAGGTGACCTTAAAGGTTTCTTCCAGCCCAAACCAATCAATTCTCTGATTCTGTGAAGTTCCAAAGTGAAAGCATAGTGGAAGAGCAGTTCAAGATGTAATAATTTCAAAATTGAAATAATTAATTTTAAGGGGTCAATTATAAATATTCTTGTGTGTGTGCTAGAAATAAATATAAAGTGTGTGCTAGAAATATGGACTATGTTTTGAAATTTGCTAACAGTGAAATATTTAATCTTTAAAAAGTTGAGAGACAATTTTATCTGAGGCTTTCACAACTAGTTCAGTTTATTAGCTTTTCTAGTAATAGCATTTGAATTGTGTGCAATATGTTGTATTAGACTAGTAACATGAAATTGGCATGGCTTATTTTCCTGTTTTCAAGATCTTATAAAATATGTTGATGTTCAAGGCAGCATGTCTTTAATTATTTAACATAGAACATTCCTTTTATACCTACTGGTAAACACAAATAAAAAAAAAATCTCATTTTCCAATATGCAGTTTAGAATCTGGTTTTTTTAGGACATTTAAAACCTAAAATAATTTTTATAAAAATGTAAAAAAAATTAAATGCTTATTTTAAACAAGTTGACTTAATGGGTGTTTAAATCAGTAGGGCCTTGCTACTTTACAGCTTGTAGAACTGTGACTTGTTAATGGGAAATGGCATTGCTAGTTTGAAGATAATCAGCTGTCTCTATGAAAATTAAGTACAGTAGAGTACATGAAAATGAAAATTCACAACAGTAGTGTAAGATAAAATAAACCTGATTAAACTGTTTATTAAGCTCTACATTTGTACTTGCAAGGACTTTCAATTATGTTATCAATGCTAACCTACAATCCAGCTACCCTCACCTGACTTTGATGGCTGTATTCTGATTTAATTCATTAGAAGCATTAATATTATTTAAATTATTTCAGGAGACACTTTTCATTGATTGTCCTTAACCTGTTGTCGTTTTAAAAGAGATCTTATTTCTTATGGCTGTGTGCAAGGCAGGGATTGGACCACCCAATGGCTGTCACCTTTTCTCCTCGGACTCTGGATATTGGTGACCCCATCACCACAGCAGGTGGTGACCTGCTGTGGCACTGATGGCAGGCCGAGGCATGAGTTCAGGTTCAAACAGGATCACAAATCCAGACATGCCAGAGTTCAGTAGTTACTTCCCTCAGAGTTTTGGTTGGGCAGTAGACAGCAGGGCCAGAAACAAAAGTTTTTCCTTGAGCCAGTTTTGGATTGCAGCTGAGGATGGCAGGTTTACATCACTGCTCTATCTTGGTTTGCTACTAATCTTCATTTTGCAGTAACTGTGCAAAAGCCATGAAGACATTATTTTGATGAAACAAGAGGAATTTTTATAGGCTTTGGTGACACTCAATGTAGAGGTAATATTTCATTGCTGTAGGATAGCTGTGTTTGCAGTGAATCAAATGTAAATAAACTTTAAGGATGTGCTTGCCAAACATTTGCACTGTTAATTCTGATGCCTTTCATTTTAAGCATGAATAGATTTTCTCTACGCAGCTTCAGGTTTTCACTTACACTGGAGAAAATCATTGGGAGTTTTAAAGCAGAGAGAAACAGACAGTGAGTTTCTTTCTTTTCCATTTGTTCATGTGTGTGTGCACAGACATTGAGAAGGACCTCGCACTGTGGGAAGAAGCAAGGCTCTCAAGAAGCCCTGGTGTCCAGCATCCCAGTGTAGTTACATCTGACCATCAAGGCAACCTTCAAGCTGCACAGGGCCCAACCCCAAGGCCTCAGGTGCCAACTCCAACAGGGAAGAACATTCAGCTCCAAGGAAGCAAATCACCACCGCTACCCACTAACAGCAGAACACAGGTCTCCAGTGTCACAAACAGCAGTGCACAAACCAAGAGGCCATCAGCTCCAGGGAGCAGACCTATGACCCCAAATAGCTTGTTGTCACGGCCTCTTACCCCTAGCAACCAAGGAAATAGGGAAGGCATTATTAGCATGCAAAGAAGCAGATCTTTGTCATCTAAGAGCCAAATGGGGAGGACCCTCAGTGCTGCTTCAGGGCTTTCTGTGCAAGTGAGTGGAGATGTTGTTGGAACTGTCACTACTCAGAGAAACAGTTTATCAGAAGTAAGATTTTCGATTTAATGTTTTTGCTATATTTAATAATGCCAAGACTTGATTGCATTTTATGTTCAAGTGACATCAGTATACCTAATGTAACCTACTGTGCTGAAAAGAACTTGAAATATAATGATGAGAAAATTAGCAAGGAAATACTGCTCAGCTTTGAGAGGTACTCATTAGAGAATGTCAGTATTATTACAGAAATCATACTGAAACACTTGTGTCCCCCAAATTTACCATGAGCTCGGTAGGGCTTTGCCTGTACAATGCATAGCAGTTTTATTAGCATTACAGTTTCTAACAGGTGCATATTTCTGGAATATCAAACAAAACTTTATCTAATCTTTATGTTCCACTGTATTTTTTCTTTCCTGCTGCACTGGCAGTGCATGATATTTTCTTGATCTACTTTTTATTTAATATTTTTGGGCAATTGGAATGATTAGTTAGGCATCACTGAAAGGACAGGTTTTTCCAAAGCACCAAACTGAATTTCAAGAGAAAATGTCCAACATTGTTGAATCACTGTCTAATACTATATGCATGGTAACTAGGCTAAATTTACAGCATAAAAAATTTCTTGTCACATATTATTGGCTTTTACAAGACTAGTCTTTGTTTAAAACAAAACAAAAGAAAAAGTTAAAGTACCTTGTAAATTCTGAGTAGGATTCTCCTCTGCTAACCTTAGCTGCCTTAAAGATAACTTCAGTGTGTGGGCAGTGGAAATAAAAGCACCTTTGAAAGAAAACCCCTGCTGTCTATCTCTATATATGCCTTACAAAGGTGAGTCTTTTCTCAGGATATGTCAGTCCTTCTGTACTGACTTGAGAAGGAACTATGTGTCTAGACTGCTGATTTTTTAGTGGTGGAATACGTTGGTTCCCACCGTTATTACCAATCTCTTTGTAATCTATTTGTCAAAGCCTGGAGACCTTTTTTCCAAGACTGAAAGTAATATCATACCTTTAGATTGTTTCTGAGGAGTATCATCTGTTTTAATAGTCTATTGGGTGTGACACTTGACACAATTGTTGTCAGTCTCATGACTTCTAAAGGAAATTTCAGATGTTGTTTATGATAGTGTTTCTTAGGGTTGCTTTTAGAAAAGTTAGAGATTAAATACTTAGTGTGACCCTTCAGTTAATTATATGACATCCATTATTTATTGTGAAGGAAAGGAAATGAGGCACAGATTACTCTAGAATTTGGGAAAGAAATCTTACTTAAATTTGGTGGTGAAATAAATACTCATTATTTTGGTGTTTGAATGACAGTGCACTAATCCCATCACCTGAGCTGTTTCTTCTCTTAGAATTGAATATCCAGATTAAAGACATGAGGACTGAAGGTGACTACAGTCCTCCTGAAAGTGTCTTAATTGCCAGTTGATATATTTTCAAACCATGTTTCCCATGGAAAAAAAAAATGAAGTAATTTTAATACTTTTTTTTTTTACAAAAAAAATCACTTTGTGTCCTCTTTTGAAGTATGGGATGTGTTTATGTGTTAGAATTTTCTCTCATACCAGAAAATAAGAATTGAAATTAGTTTTTAACTATAACATGTTCAGAAGAAATGAAGGGTTTCATTGTTTCCAACTACATTCTTCATCCCTCTTTTTCTTCTTTTGTAGGCAGTCTTGTTCTTAACTGAAATGCAGTCCTGTGATGCCAAGTAAAATTATTGTATATACTCCTGAAACTATATGTATGTAATGCGTGAGAGATATCCAGTCTGCCCATCACTTTTGATCTTTCCTGTAAAAAGGCAGACAATTAAAAATGTCTTCTAGAGCCTTTCTGTAGTTATGGTAATAATAAGCAAGAGTCCCATTTAATTTGCTGTGTCTTGTTACTTCTGTTTGCTGATAGCTCTCACAGTAATTGTCCTGTTATACTTTTAATACATGTATATATTTGTCTCAAGAATTTTAGGAAGTGAGCAATATTATTATGCTATTTTCCAGTTAGAATAGCATGTCCAGATTCAGCCAGCAATCCACTGTAAAGCTGATGTTAAACCTCAGCATTTCTATGCAGGACCTTATCCTCTGTTAAAATCCCTTCTAGAAGTGACAAATTCTTTTCTTTCTCTTTGCTCACTGGGTACAATAGTACCTTGGCTGCTAGTGACCCAGCTCAGACCCTATTTATCCTTTCTGACATGCACAAATGACCTTTGACATAATGGAAACTCAGCTTGGGACTAGCTCTGCTTCCAAAGGGAAAGCTGCTAGTGTGATACGTTCATACTGAAGACTTTCCTCTTCCAGGTTTTGAAGGCTCGTGGATATCAGAAAGTAGCTGATGGAGATCTGACCAATCTGCCACTCCCAGCCTCATTTTTGAACAAGCTTTCGAGTTTTCTTTTGCCCACTTAAGTTCCTGGTCACTTAGAGAAGTGGATTTAGACAGATCATACCCAGGAAATATGTCTGTTCTGTGACATTTTTTGCCATGTTGGACATTTCCTCCCATTTGTGGCCATGTAATTTCATTTTCTTGTGTTGCAGCTTGCCTCTGACCATGGAGATATATTTTAAAAATTCAGAGGTGATTTGGGGTAGGAGAGCAAGAGTCCTGCCTGTCTTTGTAGTATTACATATCACAAACATATAAAACTGAAGGCTGATACTGTAATTTATTTTGCAACTTTCATTGTAGGTTTTGCATCCTCTTCCTGTATAAAACCAGTACAATAAAAGAGGGGAACTTGCCTTTATTCTTATTAACCTTATGGTCTCAACTGGGAATTTCTGCTGGATGTAAATATACTATGGTTATATTGCCAATCCTATAGAAGTTACTATGATAAGATTTTTGCAAATAACTGTGCTTCCTTATTTTTAGGTAATGTTAATGGAATTAATCAGTAGAATATTGATATATATTTGATGAGAATAAGTCAGTTGAAAAGAATGTGACTGCTGGGTGCCAGGAGCATGTTTTACCCTAAGAAGCTTGATTTACTTACTTATTTACTTGCTTATTTGTTGGGAAGTTGAACATATCTCTCAAGCCTTATATATGCTTCCTAGATTGTAATGTGTTTCAAGCTAACATAACAAGTCTAAATAGAAAAATATAACTAATAAATACAATTCAAAGTTCTTAAGCTTTAGTAAAGTTCATGCTGCAGCATGGGTGGTTCAATCTTGTTGTAGCACAAATCTTAAATAATTTGGCAAGTGCTTAACATATCAGCTGTTAAGAATGTTTTGGGGGTTTTTAATGCTCCAGACTTATAATGATCTGAGATTTTGTGGACAAGTTTCTGCCTCCTGGCACACATAATATTATTAAGTTCTAACAGGTGTGTTTTATTATCAGCTCGGTTCAAGGCTGAATTGAATTATAGCAAAGAAATGCTACCTAGAGAAATAGTTTTATTATCTCTATAAAGGTAATAAATCAGGGTTCCAAATCCTTTGGCAGAGATACTTTTATGCATGTTCCTAATCCTTTGGTGTTCTGTATAAATTGGCAAAGGAATGTTGAACCCTGCTTATCTCTTTAGAATGGATTCCATTAAAGTGACACAATTCTGTGATACTTGTCAATAGTTGTTGAGATGAAAATACTACCGACTCCCTTGTTCACCATATCATTTTCTGAACATATGAAATTTTCCAATAATTTCTTTTATTCAGATAATTTTAAGTTGTATTCAGCAATCCTTATTAGTCTGTCATAGCTGAGAGCAGGAAATTTCGTCTTATTTGAATACAGCATTGATTAACAAGATTTTTACTCCAATTTACTGGAGTATAAAGCATAACAAACATTTTTACTCCTATTTACTGGAGTATAGAGCATAACTTGTGATGGGGACTCTTTTCGGTCAGATACTCTCATTCTGTTCCACTGCCTGGCTCAGGTCTTTGCTCTGTGTTTTTGGAAGATTAAAAAGTGTGTGGATCAGTGTGAGAGTCACACATGCCTACTGCAAGAATCCTGTTCCTTGAACCAAAACACATTCAGTGTTGTAGTCAGCAACCTTCTCCAGCACAGCACATTGGAAATGGCAATACATGAGTGAGGCCTGGAGCTCCTGTCTGAGTTTACTGCTGGCCCATGGCAGCAGTCTTTGTGGAATTTTTAACACATTATTGACAATTAATAATTTACTCCCAGTGAGTTACATCTTGATTGAGCAGCCTTCAGTCTCCCAAAACTGATTTAAACAAGCCTGGATTCTGTATTTAAATCAGATAGCCTAAGAATGAACTTTCTGTTGTAATACAATTTAACTTTAAATAGCTAGATTCTTATTTCAGCTGATGTAACACAAAGCAGGGTTATTACCCCCCTTTTTTTTTTCAAGAACTTATAAAAATTTGGCCAGTAATTTTATGATATTTGGCCAAGGTTAAAGTTTTCTTTTAGAGACTAAACTTGCATGTTTGAACTGCCTTTGAAAATAAAACTGTGCATTCCAGTCTCATCTCTCCCTGTGAATATTGCAAAGGAATGTGTCAAAGTATTTTATATGTCTGTGTGTATACCTGTTCACATACATATGTGTGTCTCTGCATGGAAAAATATTTTTATACACATACCTATATACATTATATTAAAAAGTAGGCAATTTTAAAACATTTTCAAAATAATATATTCAGCTGCATATGGATATTTAACCATGTAAAACATTGATATTTTGATGTTTTAATGGTATCTTGGAGACAAAAGTTTCCATAACATTTTTCCTTCCTAAGCCTTCTCCTTATGCAACAAAACTGTAGGTTCTAAATCAGGTTTCAGGTTCTTGTAGCTACTAAATTTTGACAGATCAAAGCCTCACTTAAGCAAGTTGCATTTGAAATGTCTGTGCAGTCCAAAAACTGCAGGTTCAGATGTAATATCTGCAATTTTGTCTTGTCACTGCTTTTCCAAGATGAGTATGTATGTGTCTTACATGTCTGTATTTATAGTGGAGACATTGCTAAATCCCTTCACTTTCGTGGGTTTGGGCTTGATTTTTTTTTTGTTGTTTCTTTGTTTGCTTTTCATTTTGTTTTGGGTTTTGGGCAATTTTGGGGCATTTTTGGGGCTTTTTTGGGGCTTTTTTTTGTTTTGGGGTGTTTTTTGGGGGTTTTTTTTTTTTTTTTTTTTTTTTTTTTTTTTTTTTTTTTTTTTTTTTTTTTTTTTTGTTAATAGATTAAAAAAATTTCCAAGGAGCCTGTACATCCTTTACATTTTGGTTTTATTTCACAGCAAGTTGGATTTTTTGTTTTTAAAGGCTTTCTCCTCTCTAGTTAATTGTGGCTAGTTTGCTGCAGTCTGTCATTTTATCTAAAATAGATCTGTTTGTGGCAGGATGAATTCTTACAACAGCTTCAACTTGCTCATCAACCTTGGATATTGCCGAGTGACACAGAAAGTGAAGGAGTGGAAGCTGACCAAGACAAATGTAAGTATATGTGTAAGGACCAGATAATATGTCAAAACCCCTCAACTTTACTTCTGTTTTCCATATCTTCAGATACTGTGGAGATGTCATGCCTGCTCTCAGGAGCTTTTCTCACAAGTACCAATTGCTTATTTGTCTGAGGGCTGAACCTTATAGGATTGATCTGCAGGAGCTTTCCTGTAGTCACTGAACAATGACAAAATGATCACAGCACTGTTTACTTAAGCTAAGTGAAGCAATTTGTCCTGATGTGTTAAAGTAGCTGTTCCAGAAAATAACAGGAACTTCAAATAGATAATCTGTTTCATAAATCTGTATTCACCAGCAAAAAAAAAGGCAAAGTAAAAAACTCCAGGTCTGGAAAGTAGAGCCTCCCTCATTAGGTCTGACACTCCATTTTCTCTATTTTGCTTACATTCTTTTTAATTCATCTTTATAAATAACAAAGTTCTTAATCATACCAGTATTCCTTAATATCCACTACTATGGAGTATTTGTCTAATCGTGGAAGTGAGGGTCAGCAGGATCAGAGCCTAAATGGCCGAACAAGTAATAGGCTATAAATTGCAGTATTCTCAAATTGTAGCAAATTCTCCCTGCCTACAAGGTAAATGATCTTACTGTTTCACATTATGTCTTTTAATTCACAGTAGTTTTGTGATCTTCAAGGGTGAATATGAAAACTGCTTCCTAACATATTTTAGGTGATGTACTTGAAAAAGAACAGATTATTTAATCATCATGTTTAGAAAACTCAAAACTGGTTTAAACATCAAGAGTTAATGTATGAAAAGGACATTTTCTTTACGTAAGGGAACAGTTCTATAAGGGATTAAGGATTCATAAGAAATACCCCAGATAAGCAGAATTTTTTTAATTATGCCACTTAAAAAAATTGTTTTTTACTCATACATCAGTTTCACAAATTCATACATAGCCCAGAGTTTGACTAAAATTGAAATTTACACAGTGAGATCTTAAAGGGCATGTGAAGGTCTTTTTGAACACTAGTAAAATGTTACAGTGAGATTCTGTGTATCTTACTGGTTTTAATCCAAGACTGTTAGTCTGGCTTGCACCAGAACACTTCAGTTATCTTTGAGCTGAAGCTCACCTTAGATGGCTCAAGAGAGACTCTGAGACCTGCCTTTTATGTGTATGCAATTTTTCCTCAGTATTTTCTGTAATGAATTTACAATCCCACAAAACATTGGTAGGACTGGCTGTGCACACACAGACTGATGCTAATTGTGTGACCAGGGAGACTGATGCTCCAGGACGTATCAGATACACACCATACTTTTGTATAGCTGCTGTACTTGAATTGTGTGGGTGTGAGGACTTGTGAACACCCAAAATCCTGTCCTATAATATTCCAAGAATCCTGGTAGGTCATTGTCATTGCCCAAAAAACAAAGTGGTAAGTTAATTATTAAAAGCATATTGTTAAGGTCGATGTCCAAATGCCTCTTCAACAGTGACAGACTTGAGCAACTGACCATCTCCCTCAGAAGCCTGTTCAGTCTTTCACCCTCTCAGTAAAGGAATGCTCCTGATGTCAGTCTGAATCTCTCCTTGCACAGCTTTTAGCCATTACCCTGTGTTCTGTCACTGAATACCAGGGAGAAGAGATCAGTGCCTCTCTCCCCACATGCCCTCCTCAGGAAGATGTCAATCCTCAGCTTCATTTTCTCCTAAACTAGACAAGCCCAAAATCCTTAGCTGCCCCTCACAGGTCATTCCTTCCAGCCCTCTCACCAGCTTTGTTGCCCTTATCTGGACCCATTCAAGGACCATCACATCCTTCTTAAATTGTGCCCAGAACTGCACACAGTCTTCCAGGTGAGGCTGCACTGTGCTCTACACAGTGGGATAATCACCTTTCCTGGGCAGCTGGTGATTCTGTATTTGATGCACCCCAGGATGGGGTTTGTCCTGTTGGCTTCCAGGACACGCTGCTGATTCTTGCTGTGCCTGCTGCCAACCAGCACCTCCAGATCCATTTCTGCAGAGAGGCTCTCCAGCCACTCCTCTCCCAGTTTATACTTTTGCTTGATATTAGTCCGTCCCAGCTGCAGAATCTGGTGTTTTGAATTGTTAAACTTCATGCCATAAATCACTGTCCAGTGTTCCAGTCTGTGTAGATCCCTCTGCAGAGCCTCTTGTCCCTCCAAAGAGTCAGCAACACCTCCCGGTTTGGGATCATCAGCAAATGTGCTAATGGTGGATTCAGCTCCTGCCTGCAGGTCACTGGTAAATGTATTGAACAGAACTGGCCCTAGAATGGACCCCTGGGCAGCACCACTGGTGACCAGTGACCCCCTTTGAGCGCTGCCCTTCAGCCAGTTCTTCACCCAGCACAGCCTGCAGCCACTCATCCCACAGCTGGACAAGTTGTCCTGAAGGATGCTTGAGGGACAGTATCAAAAGCAGTACTAAAAACTAGAAAAACCATGTCCACCACCTTTTCTTCATCCCCTGTGTGGGTGACCTTATCATAGAAAGCTATCAAGTCAGTTAAACAGGACTTACCCTTTGTGAACCTCCGTGTAGTAAGCTGGTGCACCCTCTATCACTGTTTCTACTACTATAACTAAAGGGATGGAACAAAAATGTTTTGTTAAAGTAATACTTCCTGTAACTGAAATCTAATAGTGAAAAATTTTATTAAAAGTAACTAAAGGTGGTAACATCCCTGTCTGAGTTTTTGTGCTAGTGACATTGTCAAGAAAGTACAGAACTGTCACTGCTGACAAAGAGAAGCTGCCAATTCCTGGTTGTAAAATGGAGCCAGCAAGGGGCTTTGGCACACTTACTGATGCCAGTGCTTGTAGGTAGACCAGCTGGCAAGATTACACATCATTTCTCACCCCAGAGTAATAAATCTGTGTGAGTATTTTTTGTGTGATTTAGTGTTGAGAAGACCCAGGAGTCCATAATTTGTGAGTTTGAGCAGAAGAGCTGCAAAATTAATCTTTACAATAGCAACACCTGTTCTTTGACTCAGCCTTTGATAAATTACATGTGGATAATATTTACCACATTCTTTGACTACTTTGAGATAATAGCAGCCAGGTGTAAAACTAGTTTTTGGTAGTGAGAAAACAATGCAGAATGAGAAACTGTATGAGTCACCTTGAGTTCTTTAAAAGTAATATCGTCTGGTTAAGAGTTTTAGAAGAAAAAGAACAAATCAAATAAGAGTGGAACAGTTTCAAATGTATTCAGATATGAGTTTAGAGAGGCTATTTTCAAAGTAAGTGATAACTGAACAGAACTGGGTTACTTTGGAATCTCAACATCTCTCAACAAACATCATTTGCAAAACAGATACAACAGCGCATACCTTGTCTTGTGGAAATGGGATCTTGGTTCTCAGTTCTTGTAAATCAGACTTTACGTTTTAAATTCTCCAGGCTCTCTGACAGCATTTTAAAATTTATCCTTAGCAGCAAGTTTCAATGATAACTGGATGTCAATAATTGTTAAACCTTCATACTAATTATGACAACATTTTAAATAAAATAGCTACTCACATAAAAGAGTTTAAATTATACTAGCTTAAAATATTTGTTATGTTAAAGAAGAAAAGAAAAATATTTTTAAGAAGCTTTGTTGATTTTTTTAGCACACCCTTTCCTTTTCCTCTTCGTGCATGCAGTTAAGTTTGTGGCCATAGATCAGAGAAAGAGATAGTGTATAATTATTTCCTCTTGTAATGTACATTTTGTTATTAAAAATAGGAATTAAGACATGGATTTTAAGAGCTATTATAATTTAGAAACAAAATCTCTTCTGCTTGCAAAATGTGTTCTCCTTTGAAACTCTCTACAAAATGAGAAATGAAAATTGTCAAGGCAGTATGATCCCAAATCAAGGACCTGTGGTGTTCTTTTAGAGTGACTAAAAATATCTCTAGATGGAACCTCATGTGTATTTTTCCTCTGTGATTCTGGAGATAGTTCCCCATTTTTATCTGCAGTATTGCTTGTGTGCTGATTCTCTGCAAAGAGTTTTCAGAGAATGCATAGATATCATTCTTGGAAAAATGAGGGATCTGGAGAAAATATTTACCACTTGCATAATTCTTCAGTTTGATGAAAGTTCTGTGAGATGGCAAGAATAGATTTTCCTCTTTATGGGGTACTGATGCACAGAAACAGAAGAACTGCCACCAGAACATTCTTTAGACAGCTTTTATGAGAAGAAATTCATCCTTTCAGGGGACTGACAAGAGGCTGCTTGAATTTTCCCTTGACAACAAGTCCTACAGAGATTGAAGATTGGAAATTACTAAGTATCACTAGCTTCCAAGAACCTTGAAAAGACAAAGACAGGGCTTTTGGTATAATTTCACCTGCCATCTGTAGTCTTGGCAAGGATTTGCTGCCCAAAACGCTAAGTCTGCTTTCTTGGGTGCTGAACTCAAGAAGTAACCCACACAGCAGATTTCCCCAGGTCACACAGCCTTGGGCATAGTTAGTCCACCTAGCAGATGTACATGACAGGTGAATGAAGTAGACTCTTGAAAAGCTTGCTACTTAGTCAATCCGTATTAAATATACCCACAGAACATTAAGGACTGGAAAGCACCCTTAAGGATCATCTGTGAAAAACATTCCTTTGTGCTAATCTGCATAAGGCATGCCAGTTTCTGTAGTCAATGGCACACAAAGTTGTGTATCTATAATCACTTCATTCCAACTTGCCAAAAGGAGCACTAGATGCTCATTTCTAGCTCGGTTGATCCAGGGCAAGTCTTGAGCTCTTGGCCTCTGACCTGTGGGAGGAAATTTAAATGTTTTGCTACTCTTCATCTGCAAACCCTTTGTTAAGGTTAACAGTGAAAGGTCTACTGCTGAAAAATCAAATGGTAATTGGGAGGAAGTGGGATTTCTACTCCATTCATTCTTGCACTGATCTTGGAACTCTGCAGTCAAAGACGCTCTGCTGATGACTTCAACAGTTGTTGAAGAAAACCTTCGTTTTCCCATTTGCACAAGTCTGCCTAGGGAAAAACCCAAAAGAATGAAAGATCGGGTTTTTTGTATACTTGAGAAATTCAGACTGTGTTCTAGTAAAATTCCAATCCATACAGTATTTGCCCATGGGTAAAGTTCCTTGCACTGAGTAAATTCACATGCCAAAACAGTCAATTTATTCTAATTATACAAATAAGTGTTCCTAAGATTTGGAAGATTGCTTGGCCAGAGATAACAATAAGGAGGAGTCTACTGCTGGAATATGTTTTTGCTGTGAAAGTTTGCTTTTGCTAGGGCCAGGTGCTACTCAGTATGAGTAAGAATGACAGAATCAGGGTTAGAGGAGCAACTGTTGATTGCAAACTTTATGACATCTACGCAACCACATTCCATTTCTGTCATTCAAATTCAGCTGTTTGTACTCTGCTCTGATAGAACATAGCTGTATTGGAATGTCTCTTTCAGCAGGTGTGAGTTTAGGGCAAGGTTAGATGTGGTTTCTCTAGAGAGTAAGGTGCTTATGAGGCATCACTCAAACATTAGTCAATTATATGTCTGGTTAGTAAGAACATAATTGTAGTTTTTCTCAATGAATAATAAATTCAATATAAATACACAATTTTTTTAAACTTTTTTTTTTTCCTTTTGTCTCGCAAGTGAATCTGTCCCAAAAGTGAACTTTTGGGAGACTTTTATCCTGATTCATGAATCTTCTGGAGATATTGGTGTTTTTCTTTCATTTTATATTTCAAGA